TAGAAACATTACAATATTTTCCAATACACATAGTAGAAAATAATGATGAAATGTCAGATATAGGTTTGTATAATAGCAGCTGGTAGATATTGACTCAGCAGTGACCCTCTTTGAACATGAACAGAGTACAGCCTGATAGGTTTTTCTGAGCTCAAATTAATATTGTTAGCGTCCTGCAAAAACATGCATGAGATAGGGTATGTGGCCGAGCTCCAAACCTGGCCTAGTGTGATGTCTCAACTCAGAAAAACTTTATTAAATTTGCTGTCTCTCTTTCTCAAGAGATACATACTTGCTCTTATGTGGGAAATAGGAGGAAATTTGACATGGATTTTGTGAATATCAACCTCTTTCATAATTTGAACTTCTCTTTTCTCCTTCCTGTATTGTGTGGTGTTTTTTTATCTTGTTACAGATAAGGCACTGAAGAAATATGCAGGATGCAAACATTAATGAAGAAAATGTACCCATCTTTACGAATCTGTAGCATAATAAGCTCCTAACTATAAAATCTGTGTGTGTATCTGTGATGATTTCTGTTGGAATGCATCTCTTTCAGATTGGCCTTTTGACATTTAAAATGACATTTTAGCCTGGTCTTATACAGGCTGCCTTTTAATTAACTTTAAACTTACAGCTCTTGTTTCTCTTTTTTCTAGATTGAGGAACGAGCAGAATTTTTGAACAAATCAGCTCAGAAGAGGTAAAGCAATAAAACAGCATGCTCAGTCAAAACAGCAGTGTTTAATTGGAGGGAGTAGTAATTTATTTCTCTCTTTTTTTCTACTTCCCACAGTGGTATGAAACCTGCCCATACGACAGCAGTTGTCTCAAAGATTGACAGTAGACTTGAGCAATACACCAGTGCAATTGTGGTAAGTTAAATCCAGGTCACGATGGCTCTAGTTACTAAGAGCATTAGGGATTATCATCAGTTTATGCTTAACTGTTCAGGGATTGCAGGCATTTTTGGTCACAAACTTTTTATAATGTGACTTTAAGAACAAAATGCTTGAGGCACACCTATGACCAACATCTACATATACATATATATAACCAAAACCTCAGATTTGTGTCTTTCCTCTTATGCTACAATTTACTCTACCTGCTTTGTAAGCTTGCAGTAGCTCTTGAAGCACTCAGTCAACATCTCTTGAGCCACAGTTGCATCCTTTTCTTGGCTGATGAAAGTACAGCAAAGAGCTGATAGTCATCCTGAGCAAAGTGACTTCGCAGTTTACTTAGGAGAGTAGGAGAACCAGCCTTGTGTTGCTTGCTGCCACTTCAGAGTGAAATTTCTTGGCAAAGAAAGACACTTCATTGAACTAGGGAGTTACGTATTGATGAAGGAAAACCAGAATGAAAATAAAATGCAGAATTTGACCCCAGGTGATTTTGACATGTAGTGGCTAATAATGTGCTTTGAAGCCAGAATTGAGTTGGTTTTTTTTTTTTTCATAGTCCAGGGGAAAAATAGGTGTTTGGTGGTTTGTTGGTTTTTTTTAGTTGGTTTTATAAATTAGTAGAAGCAATGTAAAAGCTACTGTTTAATATAGCAGGCCAACTGGACTGTGTTGGTAAGTATCATGGGAATAGATTTGTATGAAAAGGAATATTTTCTTGATAGCTGTCATTAGTGTCTAACATTTCTTCATTCCCTGATGGATTTTTTTTTTCTCCATTTGTTCACTTATAGAGTCTAAGCATGGTATTCCATTAAGGTATTAATTGGTTAGGCTTTATTATCCTTTAACTTAAAGGAAACGTTAGTAATTAAAGGTCAATTAACAAAGGGATTTTTTATGTGACTGCTGTCTGCTTAACCTTTCTGCTAAGAAGCCTATCAGTGCTGGAGAGTTTTACACTGTGTGTAAGTTCCTGATGAAAAATGTGCATGCATGACAGTGCTGAAGGCTCAAGCTTGCCTCCATCACGTATGTCAAGCTGAAGGTACCTCAAACCCCTACGTCAGAGCTGAATGTCAGCATTGCACTGAGTAGTCCCCATGTCATTGAAACAGGAGCATACAACTTCTCTCACCTTGCCTCACTCTGCCTTTTCTGATGTGACTTAACCAACCTAGAGTGACCAAGGGCTTTAATTTGGCACTGGTGTTTGATGTTAAACACCTTAAAGAGAGTGGATGGGTTGGAGCTAGAGCTCTATCCGTCATAAATCTGTGTGAAGTCAGGGTTTGTCAACCCATAAACACTGGAACAGCCTACCCGAGAGCTAGGTAGGTTAGGTTCTCCAGTATTTTCAGTGGGGCTGTGCTATGGTCCTCAGTTTTTATGCTCCACTTAGATATTAAAAAGCATAGCTCTATGGCAAGGGGCAGGCAGTGCAACTTCACATCTATATAGGGCTCCCATCTTACCTGAAATTATTCCTTTGCAGAGTTTCTGATTTTTCACAAAGTTGCCAAGTCTGATTTGGGTTGCAACTATAGAGACAAAGACTCGGCTTTTGCAGGTTCTTATTGTCCTCGAATCTGTGTTATGTAAAACATAAAAAGATTCTGAAAAGAAGGAATGGAGAAGGAGTTTAGTCCAGTGTTTTTGGTAACCATGCAAAAGACACGCTGTCAAAAAACTTCACAATCCCCCAACCCCTCACTCTTTTTTAAAAAACACCTTATTCCAAATACTGTAATTGCTGAAATTTACCCCTAAAATCCTGAGTTGTGAGGTTAAATTGGAGCACACTCTGATGCTGAATGACAGAGCAGTCTTTCTTGCCTGTCTCCACATGAGGACTTCCTTAGCTGTGTCCCTGAAAGAGCCATGCTCACAGGGCAGAGGGGCTAAAATTTGAAAGAGGACAAATGAAAACCTTGGGGCAATTGTGTGCAGAACTATGGCTTACAATGAACTTTAGAAATACAAAAATCTAAGTGATTGCAGTTTTCATAGCTGGTGATTTGAAGGGTGCAACTACAAGTCAAATGGGGAAGAGTCTCAGTGACATCTCTTGAGCTGGGCACTCCTTTCCATCTTTGCATGACCATTGAATAGAAACACTTGCAGCTGCTACATTGCCCAGAGTGAAACCACCTTGCAATTGCAACTCTTCATGCAAACACCAGCTGGTCTCAATTTTTCTGCAGGGCACAAAGTCTGCAAGACCAGCTAAGCCAGCAGCCTCTGACCTTCCTGTTCCAGCCGAGGGTGTCCGTAATATCAAGAGCATGTGGGAGAAAGGGAACGTTTTTTCATCACCCTCTGGGACAGGAACACCAAATAAGGTATGTGTTTAATTTTACATAAATAATTATGCTATGGACCTGACCTTACTGTTCATGTTCCTATGAGTAAGCCTGGCTGCTCCTGTTGACATCACTAGTGAAGAATATCCCAAAGGATCCTGAGGTCCTCAGAAACCCACAAAATTGTGTGTCTGCAATATTGATTATTACAGAAGAATTTAGTGACATACTAAGCTAAGTTATGAGACATTCCAGAGCCCCATCAGATATCTTAGACAAATATATCTGGGTAGTTCAAGCAGAGTACAAAGAAATTCTTTGTGTTGAAAAATATTCTTTTGGGGGACAGAAAAAGATTAAATAGGCAAAATAATGATGATGTTTTATAGATAATGCATAGGAGCATTTGTGAGATCTTTAACTTTTCTACGTAAATCCTTAAGGCAACATTTCCTTTCTATAAATTGATGTGAGTTGATAAGCATTCATCGTAGCCAAAAAAATGAGCCATGATCTGAAGTGGGTTATTACAGATAGCCATGAAATTTCAGTATTTTGTTCTAACCTGTTTAATTATTTAAATTTTGGACCACTTAACTCCTCTAATAGCTGCTTTTTAAAAAGAAATAGTTTAACAAAACAAAAATGTAGATTTACACTGGTGTCTCTTCTTCTTTCAGGCTAAAGATTTTTTTCTCCTTGGAGTCTGGGGTTATGACAGAAACAGCAAGTTTATGTCTAACATTTATTCCATGGTTAGCCCTAAAGTGGAAATGGGTTTGTCAACTCACGTTTACCATTATTGAAAACTAGAGTAGGGGTACTATGTAGTTCGTAGGGACAACATCTTCAGAACACACAGGATGACCTTTAGGTAGCCATAGTCTCAGTGACTATTAAAACTCAGGCTTGGCTTTGTGGTTAAATCTAAACCATGGAAAACATAGCAAAAGCTATTCTGAAAGTCTTCTGAATGAATTTTGTTGTTTTGGAGGAAACTGCTGGACTGAAGGTTGGTGTCTCCAGTCGTATAAACGAGTGGTTAACCAAGACCCCAGAGGGCAACAAATCACCTGCTCCAAAACCTTCCGTGAGTAAACCTGCAACATCCATCTCTTCAGTAGATGGGTTCTCTCCTGGGGCAAAGGTGGTGATGGTGCTTCCTACACCAGATGATAGTCTTAGGAGGAACCTTGCTGCATGTCCTCTGGCTGATGAGTCCTGTGTAGTCAGAAAAGGGGGAGATAAGACAGGGTAGTTCTCACCTTAAAGCTTAGGAGTGCTCTAGAAAGACACTGCTCAGAGAAGCACTTCTCTGGTAGAGAAGAACATTAATTTACTACCTGTGAAAGGCCTACTACTAATTTAAAAATTACCAGCCATAGACTGTGCATGAAACATTTGCACTTTGGTTCTTGCCCTGTAAAAATCTTCCAAGTATATTTTTAAATACAATTGAAATACTTTGATCATTTAAAAGCCTAAATGTCATTTCTAATGAAGGCCCTTTAGCATGCTCATTACTTCAGTAAGATTCAGAGCAGAAAATGCTATCAAAGTAATAAGCTAGGAGTGTGGGAAGGAGCAGTGTGGATGTGGGAAGGAGCAGAAATAGG